AAAAAAAAAAAAAAAAGAAGGAAGACAGCAGGGTGAAAGGAGGCGAGGAAGGTGAAGGGAAGAAGAAGGTTGGTGAGGGAAAGAGAAGCCGGCAGCCATTGCTGACCGAAGGGTTGACCGGGAGAGTTGACCGGAGGTGTTGACCGGCGTTGACCGGAGTTGACCGTGGGTTGACCGCAGCGTTGACCGACGTTGACCAAGACTTTGACCAAGCTGGAGCCGGTAAAATCTTGCCAAGCCTTCAGCCTATCCCTCGCCCTATGGATGTGCACACACCCTGTGGTACTTGCTGAGTCTAGTCTGTCTATCTCTTCTTTCTGCATTGAGTCTCTTCTGTCTAGGTGATAGTACTCTGTGGATGAAGGATAGGGCCTTGTTGACCAAACCCACATGGGCTGAGTAGGGCTGAAGACTGTGTCTGACGACTCGACTATCCCGGAGGACACGAACCCTCCCAAGGACCGGTACTGACCGGCGGGCTGCTCGGTGTGGCACGGTAGGCCCAAAATCCGAGTTGTGGGCTGCACAATAGGCCGTCTAAGTGTTGAGAGACCTGCTGATCGCGTCGTCCTATCTGCGACGTTAAATAATTCCTGAGGAGTTACGGGGGATCTCCTTAAATGCCTCCTAATTAGCAACAGGTCTAGTAGTGACAGCCATGGTATAGGTCTAGGTTAGAGACCCTAGTTGGCAGGATCTCTGTCCGGATTCTGTGAGTCTTAGATTGAGTCAGTAGATTTGTCAGTCAGGGGTTAAAGTCTACGTGGTGAGGTTTGGAACTGTAATCCGGTTGTGCACTTGTCACCATGGTGGAGACCCGTAGTGGGACAAGCACTAGCCCCTACACCAAGGAGCAACAGGAAAAGATGGCCGCCTTAGTGAGAGAGAACAAGGAGAGGAAGGAGTTCTTGAAGTGGGCGAAGCTGAAAGCTATCGCAGAGGAGCAGGCGGCAAAGATGAAGAAACTGGAGGAGGAGATGAAGAGAGTTCGGCAGGAGGAGGAAGAGAGGAGAAAGGCTGCCGAAGAGGAAGCAGCAGCGGAAGAAGAAAAAGAGTGAAAGCGTATTGAAAATCGAGGGGAGAGTAGTGGCACGAAGAAGGATGAAGACGCAGAGATGGAGAAAAAGATCAGCGAGTGGATTGCTAATTTATCGTTGGGGGAAGATGAGGAGGCAGAGTTTTATGTGCCCCAGGACGAGAGGGATTCGTTAGCGCAGGAGCTAGCAGCAATGGAGGACCCCCTGGAAAGACAAGAAAGAGAGGAGGAGAAAAAGTTGGAGTGGAAATTGAGAATGAAGAGGGAAAAGAAGAGGAGGGATGGAGTTAATAGGTTGACCGCAGAGGTGGTGAAGGTGAAAGATTGTAGGGAGGAGGTGCAGGCTCAGGCAGACGCCTCGCCCAAAATGGATAAGGTGTTGGGGTACTTGGAGGTGTTGAGCGCAGCTTGGATGGAGGAACGCCAGGCCAATAGAGCTCAAGAGGTAGCTTTGAAGGCCATGCGGTCCGGTTTTCGAGATTTTGCGCGCGAGATGGTTACCCACGTTGGAGGGGAAGTCAGGCGGTTGAGAGACAACGTGGGGAAGTTCTGTGAGGGTGCCATTGAGGGCACCAAAGTAGTAGCCGCTGCTGAGAGCGAGGTCAGACCCCGCAAGGAATCAGTCAAACTCAAGTTTCCCGATGCCTATGGCGGGAAATCTGATGAGAACTTTGATAACTGGGAGGCCAGCGTAAACAGTTACATTTACTTACAACACATCGTACAGGACGATCAGGTCCTGGTTGCCTTCCAGGCCCTCAAGGCCGAAGCGACTAGTTTTGCTAGGTCCCTCGCGCGCGCGGCCAGTTGTGAAAACAACATGGTCGCCTATTCCAAGGTTACCCCCCTCCCTCAATTCTTCAAGCTCCTTAGGGAGCGATTCGCTGATCTTCGCAGAGGCGTTAGAGCCTCTGATAAGCTCCAAACCATTCACTCACGACAGTGGAGGAGTGTCAAGGCACTCAAGGCCGTGATGGACGACCTGGTGGCCGTCCCGGACCATGGGGTGACTGAGTCCCAGTTGGTCCAGCTATTTTATTGTGCCATGTCAGAGCCCCTACATGGGCACTTCTTTGACAAGTCCCAACAACCCACCATGACGTACGATACACTTAGTAGAGAGGTGGTGCTGTTTGAGGCCGAGTCCATGCCAGTTTCCACTTTCTGGCATAAGGACTTGACAAGGGCAAAAAGTGGAAAGGTCGTACCATCTCTGACCAAGTCAAGGCCAAGGATCACATCATCCTTACCTTAGAGGAGGGTGGTACAAATGAGGTCCCATATAGTCAGATCGAGTGGGGCCTTGAGGAGGAGGACAATAGTGTGCGACACGGGAGGTCCTATGCTGCTGTCGCGGCTGGAGGGAGGCCACAAAGTAGAGGAAGAGGCCAGGGCCAAATGGGCCAGGCCATGGGAGGCCAAGGGCCAGGCACACAAGGGGTTGGCGGACAAGGGAACTGCCAAGTGGGAGGTAGGGGTCAAGGTCCCCCGCCAAATCGTCCAGGTTCTTGTCAGTCCCCACAGCGACGAGGTGGAAGGTCACCTCAAGGAGGATGGCACCCAGGCTTGCCACAAGGCAGGCCCTGGGAAGACTTGGGCTTGGACCAGCGCGTATGGCAGGAACGCGTGAACTTGGGTCAGTGCGTGTTTTGTGGTGACCCGGCCCACGTAATTAAATTTTGTCCTCAGTATAGATAGGCCCGATGGGCTGCTCAGCAGTCAAAAGGCAGCCGCCAGTAGGGGTCGCAACTGGCCCTTCAAGGCCATGTGGGGAATTGAGCGCGCGCGTACAGGAAACTCCCAAACCACATGAGCTTATGGCAGAGGTTGCAGGCCCGTGCCTCGCTAGCTGTCCAGAGACTGCTTGTGTAAGCATCTCTCTAGGCACGTCCCTCACAGGCACGGCAAAAGAGTTGAAGGAGAGGATGCCAGCCTGGGCCAAAATGAAGAAGGAGAGTAAGGGACAGCTGATCTTGGTAGATGTAGAAGTGTTTAGAAGCAGAGTAGGGGCCCTTATAGACTCAGGGGCTACCCGCAGTTACATTAGCTGTAGGGCACTGAAAAAGCTGAGGCTAGGATTACAAGTCCAAAAGTTGGCAGACCCCATAGTCAGTGTCCTCGCAGACAACCGCACGATGCGAGTTGAGGACTACATAGAGGGAGTTCAGGCGTACTTTCGCCTAGAGAAGGATGGGAAGGTGAAGAAAGTTCTCCATTCCCTGACTCTCCTCGTTCAGGACGACCTTCCTTTTGATATAGTATTAGGAATGGATTGGGGAGAGGCAGCAGGGGCCACACTCCACTTAAGAGAGCATGAGTGTAGGCTCCCTAGCGAGTCAGGCGAGGTCAAGACTGCCCGCCTGTTTCATGTGTCAGGTGTAGATAACACCTTGGCACATTGCTGTCTCAGTGCTCCCGCGTTCGCGCGACTAATGAAAAAGGAGCAGTTAAAGGATCAGGTCTTCGTAGTGTATGTGAGGCATGTCACTGAGGCTAAAGAAGGAGATAGTTCCACAGACCCAACCATTGCCAAACTGCTGGAGGAATTTAAAGATTTGACAGAGGCGCCGACAGGAGTAGTGCCGCGACCCATCCAGCACAGGATAGAGATAGATCCTGACAGTAGGACTCCTAAGGGAGCAATCTACAGGATGTCCCCTAGAGAGTTAGAGGAGCTACGCAAGCAGTTGGACGAGCTCCTAGAGAAAGGTTGGATCAGGCCCAGTTCGTCTCCTTTTGGAGCACTAGTTTTGTTTGTCCCCCAGAAGGAAGGAGAGCTTTGTATGTGCATAGACTATAGGGGTTTGAATGCGATTACTGTGAAGAATGCTGAGCCGCTGCCCAGGATAGACCATCTTCTAGATCGGGTGCAGGGTTGCAAGTATTTTTGTAAGATAGATTTGAGGTCCGGATACCATCAGATAGAAGTCCATCCTGATGACCAGTACAAGACTGCGTTCCGAACTAGATATGGGCACTACGAGTTTATAGTGATGCCCTTTGGACTGACCAACGCGCCAACCACCTTTCAGCGTTGTATGAATGATCTATTTAGACCTTGGTTAGACAAGTTCGTAGTAGTTTATCTAGATGATATATTAATTTTCCGCCGGACCCTCAATGAACATTAGAGTCATTTGAGGCAAGTCTTGGAGAAGCTGAGAGAAGCTAATTTCAAGATTAATGCGAAGAAGTGCGAATGGGCCAAGACACAGGTCCCGTACTTGGGCCACGTATTAGACGGAGATGGCATTAAGCCAGAGGACAGTAAGATAGCGGCGATTAGAGATTGGAACGACGCCCCGCACATTGACAGAATTGCGGTCGTTCCTAGGCCTAGCTAACTACTATCGAAAGTTCGTGAGGAACTTCTCTACTATCGAAAGTTCGTGAGGAACTTCTCCACTATCGCCACTCCCTAGCGCAGGTTGCTTAAACCACCAATACCTACCGGTGTTCAAGGCCCGTCCCTGCAACTACCGGTGGGCGTAGCCTAAGGCTACCACGCCGAGCCTACGACTACCGGTAGATGAGTGACAAGGTATTTTACAAACATTTTATTGGAAAGAAATGAAAATAATAATAAAAAAAAAACAAAGAAAACTTCATACGTGAAAAGAAAAACAAAAGAAAAAAAAAACGGAAAAGCAAGTCCGACATACCTTTGTTTCCCGTGAGAGAGAGAGAGAGAGAGAGAGAGAGAGAGAGAGAGTGAGAGGGCCGACGTTTTTGACGCGGCACTCCCCGCAACGCGCCCTCTCTCTCTCTCTCTCTCTCTCTCTCTCTCTCTCTCT